ACTCAGTATGCGATTTCGGATGCCGTTAGTAACTTGTCGCCACCTACTGGCATCACTATTTTTGGTACTTTTCTCTTTGTTTGTTCCACAGAAAATATTCCAACATGAGAGTGATAATAAATGCTGACAGATTTTCATTAGTTCTATCCCTCTTAAATAAGCTGCAGGCAACCTTTGAAGCTTCTTCTATTCATATCCTGCTATTTAATCAGTTATTATTTAAAGCAGGGATATTTTTTTCAAAGCCAGCAGCATGTCAGGCAGATAAAACTAAGTATGAAGACTTTTCGAGACAAGGATCTAGTTTTACACACATACTTCTGGTCCGGTCTACCCCATCATTTGTATTCAAAGGCCCCAATGGGCTGTTACAGGAATGAGAATGATGATAAATACAGCCACGCAGCAGGTCCCAAGGGAACGGCCATCATCATCTTGATTTTTATTGGCCTTTCATTCAAGCACCTCCATCTTGCACTCCGTCATGCATTTATTTTCTTCCAGATAAAGGGCATTCGACCTATGGAGTTTCCTTTGTGTCTTTTTTATTCAATGAATCATACTGTGTTTGAGAGTAAAACTCATTATTTTGCAATAATAAAAATATATATACTTTTTTTTTTATTAAAATATATATATAAATATCTTAAGGCTCAAAAATATGAAGTTGATAAAATGATTTGCAGTGTGTGTAAATCTTTGAAAACCTTTATTTTTCTTTGTGCATTTCGAACACTTTTTCATCAAAAACACACAAATTTTGCTCTCTTTTCTGCTGTCTTTTTTTGTGAGTCTAAATCTTTTGCTTAAAAGTTGAAAAGTTTTGCGTGCGAGTTGAAAAGTTTTGCTTGCTAATGAAGCAAGTGGGCAGTCTCTACCAACCAGGATGAAAGGTCCTTTTCTATTGGTCACCCTTGATGGGAGTGACAGGTTGACCACGCCCACTACGTTTCCCCGCTGCTACCGCGCAGTGTGTCTGTGAGAGAGGAGCGAGCGAACTTGTAACATGGCCAGCAACAGGTCGTTTACTGAGTAAGATAACTTATTTAATATCATAAACTCAGTGACAAGTGAACTGAATTATTCTCTTCTTATGCTCTCCCATTTAAATAACATTTTATTTTATTTTTAATTACAAAATAATTCGTTTTACTCTCTAACAGAGTATGTCTGATCTGATTGAATAAAAAAGACCCGAAGGAAACTCCATATCAACCCATCCATACATCTTCAGACTAAAGCAGACAGGCTTTTGTTGCAGACAGATTTGTTTGTGATGCAGCTGTTTTGGTGTAGCTGAACATGTTCTGATTTCTGTTAAAAGTGAAGTGTGTCATGCAAACAGAATAGCAAAAGATCAGAAATCATTGGAAAACAACAAAAGTTCAGTTCAGCTTTAACTCTGCGCTGGCAAATATTAATGGTGATTTTTGAGTTTTAATACCACATAATGTGGATTGCTTGAAGTGACAATGAGAACCCCTCTGCTGTAGTTAGCATCGAGTCAATTTTGTTTGTAGGGAACACATTCAACAACGAACACAATGACTTATCCATTATTGTTCACTTTAGGTATCGATCCACAAGCGCTACATTAGAGGAGTTCTGTGCCCGTTCGAAAGCTAGAATAAACCTCCGCTGTTCCAGCTCTGCCTCGACAGCACCAGGCGTCTCCTGAAACATTGATAACGGTTAGCCGTCTCTGTGCTATTTCACCAGGGATGCTGAGAGAAGTAAGGACCCGGTGGCCCCAATCGTGCTTTACAGCTCACGCTAACAGTGCGGTAATGAACTTCCCCCATCGCCCCTTCCCCATCCACTCCGCTCCACCATCCTCACACACGTCAAGAACTGACGAAACATACATGCATAAAGCCATCCCAGTACATCAGCATGCAAAGGGGCCTGACTGGTCATCCATGTTATGGACTGCTTTGACTCTCACAAGTCAATGTGAGGTTTATTGCACGCTAAAGGCAGCAACAGAACAAAGCCTAGAAGCCTTTGTCAAAGACGATAATTGGCATTTATTCTGCTGTGGTTACATTGAAGGCTGCAACAATGCCATCCTCTGTAACTATAGGTCTACGAAGAATACATCATGTCCTTGGCAGAGAACAAATTGTGAAATCGTCTTTCAGGATTCTCGTCGTGTAATGCATTATTGCATTCCTCCCAATGAAAGATGACAATAGTGTAATGCATTATTGCATTCCTCCCAATGAAAGATGACAATAGTGTTCGCAACCATTTTTACTTTTTAACATTATGTACAGTATTTCTGAGAATAAAAGGATAAGGGTTAGAGGGAAAACGTAAGAGGGTTTGGTTACGCCAGGGTGGAGGTTACCATACTTTGATAAAAGATTAACAGTTATCAATGTTTCAGGAGACGTTGCATTTTTATGCAGGCCTACACCTATAAAATTGTACACTATAAAAACAGAAACATGTATTAAGTAAATCTGAATAAAATAAAATAATAAATCATATGGATGGCTAATGAATTTCAATATAAATGCAAACTCAGTATCACTAAACAACAATTGTTGTGAGAAACATGCTCAAATATGCACTGTTTTTCATACTTTTTAGGTTTAACATTTAACAAAAATGAATAATGAATGAGCATGTTTAAAATGATGTATTATACGCACACATAAGTATATCGGTGGTCTAAAAAAGTTGGGTTTTTTCTACACAAGGATGGTAGTTGCCATGTTGACATCACATGACCTGCTGAACACTATTAATTTGATCTCTATACCCCCCATTTCCCCATTATTGAACACGTTTGGTGGCAGAATTAATCAATCATGTGTGACGAATATGCCTGTGAAGAACATATTTCTACAATGGTATTGGTCACTGAATTTTGGTGAATCTGTTGGACTGTTGCATAGGTCAACAAGACAAACGTAAAAAATAATCAATGTTTACAAATGATGATGACTCAACCATGTCTTCTCTATAAAGTCAATTTAAAGAATTCACATTCATTGTGGATTATTAGTGAATGAGAGGTTTGCTATGCACAAATGCAACAAAATGTGAACCGAAAAGAACATATGTTATATTAATGTCAAAATTGTGTAATTTAATTGGCATAATCAAAATACATTAAGTAGAGGCATGACTTTAATCTCAGAGACATGAATCATAGAGACAGGAAAAGCCCCAAATGACTTTGATCTTACTTGACACACTTGATTATATAATTTTGACATTAGGTCATAAGACAGCGCTGACCTTTACAGAGGAAACTACTGCTAAAAATGCACCAGGCCTTGCTCCATTATTAATTTAGATATGCAGCGTCCCACATATGTCAAAATTTCTATGGGTGTTTACATAAAATCCAAAGCTTTAAATTGAGGCTGTTGAAATATTTGGCAGGATCTTTTCTAACCGGCGTTCTATTACTTAAGGCCTAATGGACTCAAATGAAAGCATCCCTGGTCGCCTACAAAACCTAAATGGATTTTGACGAAGGCTGCCGTTAAATGAATAACTTCTCTGCCATATTAATGACACCCCTCACATCATAACAGTGGGCGCTTTTGCTGCAAATGCATACTTGAAGCATTTTTCAGGTCAGTTTGAAATACGCATTGGAAATGTAACATTTAACAGAGGTAAAACTCTGTTGTTGTATCGTATTGCAGAATGCAGAGATAATTCATCACTTTCAACAGCGCTCACAGGGGAAAAGCGACATCCAAACAAACTCCACACAGTCTGAAATTAGCCCGAAATGAAACAGAGAAGATGAAGAGGTAAAGTGACAAAGCAAAAAGCACATAATGGCTAAAGCGAGCCCAGTAATATCGGAGAGGAGACAAGAGGACATTTTTACAGTAATTAAACAGGAACACAAACAGGCCACAGAAACATATTAGCGAGAGACTAATCATGACAGTTCAATGCAAAGCGATCATTAATAGCAAAGATAAGCTTGTTAGCCCGCCTCGGTCAATATTTATACATGTTTTCCCCGCTAATTGAGCTTTCATTTTGCTTTGGGCCTGCTTAACCAAGCGTACTTTTTTGGAGTAAATAGCAAGAACAGGGTTTGCAAAATGTAAAATTTTATTTTCAAAAATGTAAGCAACAGATTACACAGTTAACTTTCAGCAATTGCAGTCCTAACTTAAACAGTACTCACATTCGGGACTTCAAAATGAAAGACTCACAAACTTACACACTATCTACCTATAATATACAAAAAGAATACAGAATAAATATTAAAATGGCCACAAGAGAAAAAGTAAGTTAATCAAAACAATTAATAGAGAGCAAATGTCGGGAAAGTAGAAACAAGACTCTGTGCCTTAAATACAATGTTTTTTGTTTTTCCTATTACATTTTTTACAAATTGTGCAAGATTTCAGACTAAGGCTCTGGTCTTGACGTGACAGCTGTTCGCCTAGCACTCTCGCACACACGCGCACGCACACTCACGCACAGACATCCACACACACATGCTCCCTGTGCTCTGCGCACTCGGTGGGGTGTAGCAAACGTTACAGGGTAAGAAATGGGCTGTGCATGTGATGGTGGATACTGTTTTTCAAATGAAAATGCACTTCACCCTCATGTGAAAAGACATTTCAGAGGAGCGGATTTAGAAAACAACCCTCGCCTTGCAAATGAAAACATGAACAAAACACCAGAACCATTAAGGCAAGAACAGCTGGAGTGGTATCTGTAACAAAATTTGCGTGTTCGGGTACATGGATATGCCGTACTCAACTTAGCTTAACTGGTTCTCCACTGTCAGTTTAAGTACAAGGTTCTCAAGAGCAATGTTTTAAAATTCAAACATTTGTTTTAGACTTAGAAAAATGAGATAAGAAAATAACATTGCCAGACAACAGAGACATACCATATGGATCATAAAACTACAGGAAATAATTTAAGTTGCAAATCGAAAACCACACGACAGGACCCGCCCCCTTAAGACCCGCCCACCAGCCCGCCCCGCCCCGCCCCAACCCAACCCAACCCTAAAAGGAAAAAAGATATCACTTACATTTAAACCAATTTATCCTCTCGTGAAGGTGTATTCCAACAGTTAGTCACCCCACATGTTTTGTTTACTTACAGTGAAAGAGAAGTCTGTTGCAGATTAAAGCATTCGTATTTCAGTTTGGGAAAAACAAGACATCCTTGCAATGCAACTGAGCGAAAAAAGCATCTTCCGGTCTTCTCGTTAGTGCAACTTTTTAGACACAAATTCCAGTGATTCCTTAAGGTAACAGTTTGATTTCTTTTACACCCGTTCCAGAGTCTTCCAGATATCCATACCAAAGGTCAGTCCTTTTTTTTTTTTGATGTATCCATTTTTTCTTTTGTTTAAATTTTTTTTTTTTTTTTTTTTTTTTTGCGTATTGGGTTTCAAATGGCCTTTCGCATTGGTTGTTTACTAGAACATAAACGTGAGACGTGTCCTCTGTCCGTTCATCATCTTATTCCATTCGGACGGTTCAACTACAGGCCTCGAAGAGGGAGCGAGAGGAAGAGGAGAAGGAGAGAGCTGTACAATTGAACACATCCCTGATCAACCAGGGCATCCAAACAAAAACCGCATCAGAAAAACAAAAATTGCCACTGAACCTTCATATAACACAGTAGGGTTCCCTCGGTAACCTGGATTTTCTGCAGTAGAGGAGCGTGGTGCTGAAGCATCGCCGGAGCTCCCGGTTGGAGAAGATGCAGATGAAGGGGTTGACTCCCGCTTGGGCGAAGCTCATCCACACGGCCGCTGTCAGGTAGCCCCCCGGGATCACTGGGCCTCGGGCGAATACCCTCCAGTAGCAGGCTACCAGGTAGGGTCCCCACAGGCTCAGGAAGAAGAAGGTAATGATGTAGAACATCCTGCTTATCCGCTTTTCAGTCTTAAACTCGTCCAGCACCAGCAGACGCCTGCGGCCCGCCGCATTGCTGTTCTGCCGGATTCCCAGCAGGGTCGGAGGCGTGGGACCCCGGCCGAAGCCGGCCAGCCAGTTGGCCGCGGCCTGGCCGCTCGCTCCCGGGCCGTGGAAGGTCCAATTCTGGCTGACGGCGGGCACGAACTGGACCGGCTTCATCTTTCGGCGGTCATGGACGAAAAAGATGAGCTTGAGGTAGACAAGCTGGGTGGCCAGGAGGATGAGTGCAAGGAGCAGCATGAAGCCCAACGAGTCATTGGCACGGAAGGAGCGGTGCTGGAAGGTGCACTGGTCCTCCTCGCGGATGAAGGAGTACGTGCCAACGTCCAGCACCGGAGGGAACGCCATGGCTACCGACAGGGTCCACACCATGCATATGACGGCCAGGCATGTCCAGAAGGTCAGCCGCTTAGTGTAAAAACGGTGGTGGGCAATGGCCAGGTACCGCGTCACGCTAACGCAGAACAGCATGAAGGCAGTGTGGAAACAGGAGAGCACGCCCAAGAAGGCGATCACTTTGCAAGTCAGCGTGCCGTACGTCCAGGCTGAGCCATTCTTGACGGAGGTGAACACGAAGGGGAAGCAGATGGCCGAGCGCAGGATGTCCGAAGCGCAGAGGTCCAGCAGGAAATAGTAGGGCGCTCGATGAAGGCTCTTGTCTTTGACCAGCAGGATGGAGATCAGGAGGTTTCCGACCACGCCGACGCCGATGATGAAACCCAAGGAGGTCAGTTTAAGGAAAGTGGCGAGCGGAGAGACATTCTGCAAGATGTTGTGGTCCCCTGCATGGCTGTAGTTCGCCATAGATGGAGAAGGGATCATAGAGAACGCTTAAAGCTTTAGCCAAGTATCATGATCTAGATGGAGAGTGGAGCGATAGATCCATCTGGTGTGCTTTGAAGCAGGTTCCAGCCTTGTTCTTCGCTGCCTCTCTTCTAAGGCATCCTTTGTTCCTTTGTCTCATCACACCTAAAAGGATGCCTGAAAAACACGATCCACCCATTAGGATTCGCTCACACAAAACAAACTGGGGGGCTTTGCATTGCATCGCTCATTTCTTTTGTCATTGAGGTTCTTTTTTCTAATTGCATACAAAATTGCGGCTGCAACGGTATGCCGTCTATGTCGAGCTCACACAGTTGCTTAATTCAGCATAAGGATTCGCCGTTGGACACCAACATAAATCCTGGTTAAAATAACAGACCCCCACCCCCAACATCTCCCCTTTTCCAAGGCAAATTAAATAAATAATAGCAAAGAAAGAGAGTGCAGTCGACAAGATGCTCATCACCACGACCAGACATCCGTCTACAGGCATATTCATCTGTGGTATAATGGAAAAAGACGTGGAATCTAATGATTGTTATCAGCTACACCCGAAAGGAACATTTGTCTAAATGCAGCAAGAAAAGCTGTTGATCCCACCCAAAGATCCTGCAGAATCTAACCGTGTTCATTCCCTCTTGTTTATCATGATGCTGTGGAAAATCAATCATGAATCCTTATTTGACTGACTGTGTAAAGGAATATGAAGAAATGTATCATGTTATATTTTATAAAAATATCGATTATTTGTGGCTTCCATACAGACGTTCAGTCCAACATCACAATATAATGCAAGTCATTTGGGGAAAAGCACATGCTTTAGAATTACATCTCTATTTTTTTGTATCTCACTAACCTATATTAATTTGTCAATTAGTAGCCTATGATATGACGATGAATTCGAGTAAAAAAAAAATAAACAAACAATGGATTGCATCTATTAACCGACTCTGTGCAATAGCCGTCGTTTCTTTCATAGCTATAAATGCACGAAGACCCTTTCCCTATATAATAAATAATAAACCTTTGCATACAGTTGCATTTTTACAAAAGCATCCACCATTGAAGACGTTTTAATTAGTGCGTTGTATCAAAATAAGCAACAGATACAGGATCGTTTGGGTGAATGCGTGTGAATTTAGCACACAAGAGGTCTATTTTTCCCTTTGCTTTTTAAAACGGAATGATTTCTGGATGGCTGAGCGTCCATTATAGGCACAGCAATTCCTTCAAATAGGCTACATGCATGCAAATATCGAGTGCAACAGAGACAACGCTTTAAAATATCAATTAAAAACATACCTGTTGATATTCCCCCTTTGTTTCCCTGGCGGTTATTTACATGGCAGCAGTCACTTTGCCGTAAAAAAAAGGTTTAGTTTTGTTGCCTGCTCTTTTCCCCCCACTGTGATTATACAGTAAACGGTGCGGACGGCGCATGCGCACTGGCGCTATTTGTGATCCCGGCAGCAGCATCATCTGCACTGATGGGTGCAGCATCACGGATCCCTTTTGCCCTTTTGTATAATATACATCGTCGCATGTGTTATAATAAATGTTTACTGTGTATACTGTATCTGTCAATACCCTATATGTCACTATCTAGATCTATCTATCTGTCTGTCTGTCTATGGGAGAGAGAAAACAATGGTGGGCTTTATTTATAATAAAGCCACCTTATATTTAGCTAAACTTTATTATTGTTTATTCTGTAGGCTATAATGTGTCACACATTTCACCTATTTTGTATCACTGTGTAGCATACTGTATTTGACCAATGAAACCTTGAACTTAACTTAGGGGTATTACATTCATTGTGTATTTGAATATGTTAGAGGAGTGGCTAGCCTATATTACATATGGTTCAGCACAGGATACACTTACTCAGCATCAGTAATTGACACTGCCTATTGTGTGTGATACACCTCATTGCCCTGAATAAGAACCAACATGGGTGTCTTCTATTGCATACTTGGCACTGGACATGCAGTGACCCCAAAGGTTGTTTGTGAACACTTAATAATAACTTGATGTATTGATCATGTAGAATGGTTGCAACAACCTTTTACAAGCTGGACCGGCATCTAGTGGCTAAATTTCCTTTAGCTCAAACAGTAGAATAAGGTGCTGGGTTTAAATCCTAGAAACTGCATGAACTGAAAAATGTACACCTTGTGTGCAATGTAAGTTGTAAAAGAGTTGTAAAAATGCATAAATAAATAAATAAAGTGTCCAAATCCTTTTTGTCTTAATTTTATACAGTTTTATATCAATTTAAAACCATTTTGTGAAATGTTTTGCTTGAGAAATATGACTGCCATCATTTTTTGCAAATGTAACTTGGTTTATTATTGTATGTATTTCAATGACTTAGAAGGAATGACTTTTGCAACCACTATATATGCAGTTTATTTTGGTGTGCATTTAGCAGAGAATTAAAAATTTATGAAAATGAAAGAGCTTTTCAATTTTCAGTCTATTAATTTGCAACAGATGCAAAGTCTCACTTGGACAATAGGCACATAGGTAATAACATTTATAACCTTTAAACAGACAAAGCAAACAGCATCACCCTCCCTCTCTAAAGCACATTGGCAAAGACATTAAATGCTTTATGCAGACAGAGAAAGCAATCCACAATTTTAGGAGTGAAATTGAAAGCAGATTGTCTTGCAGTGATAGTAACATGGCAGGAGACCATCACAAGCCCGCCAGAATGTCCAAGTCCATAGAAATGTGTCAGAGAACGTCTGTATGATCTTGTTCTCTGCAAGCAGTGATAATCTAATGGACTTTTCAACGCTGGTAATGTAGAAGTTTCTCACGTGGTGCACAGGGGCAGGAAGGATAGTGTCATTGAAATGGATAATACGTCAAGAATAAAATAAACAGCTTATATTATCCATATAGGTCCTTCCTCTGCGTGCATTTCCAATTCTCTTCAGTAGAAATGCATGACAGTCCTTCCGCACTCAGTCACATTTCCGGATGAGGCCTTGATCAGCAGGTTGATCATCAAAACTGGCCGTTCCGCGTGCGCGCGTACCAGCCCAAACACGCGCAGATTCCCACGAGCGTCACGGTCGCGCCCAACAGTAAAGCCAGCGCATCTCCTCCGTCAAACGCCTCGGCGGTCTGGACAAGCGCCAGGAGGAAAAGCCAGAGCACCATGTGTGTGTGTTGGTCTTTGGGAGCCATGTTGTTGTTGGTCTGCTGCGAGGAGAGATTGGGAGCAAGCGCAACTGCAATGACGACGCGTCAGGTGATCTCGCTGCATTTCCTGATTTTACGAACCCTACCCCTACTATGGGAAAGGTTTGGTTATTAATATTGATAAGCTACGACGAGCCGTTGGAAAGTAACGACGCAACGTCAAGCGTCATTTAAATGTTTTTACAATTGGATGGCAACGTCTGCAGTGTTGCCAACTATTTTCAAAGGAAAGTAGCTAACGCCTTCCCTAAAAGTCGCTAAATGTCGCTAGATGACGTCATACGTCAACTAATAACGTCATCGCGTCGTACTTGCGTTCTGTCAGCCTAGTGCGTTTTCTCTCTATTTAATATAATATAGCCGAATGTCAAATAAAGCTGTTCTCATTTCCTATTTTTTTTTGTTGTCCATTTATGTTGCATAACAAAACGTGAAAGTAATGTTAAAGGTTTTGTTCACACAAAAAATTATATTCTGTCATCATTTACTCATCCTCAAGTTGTTCCAAATCTGTATGAATTTCTTTCTTCTGCTGAAAACAATAGAAGATATTTTGAAGAACATGGGTAACCAAACAGTTGATGGACCCCGACGACTTCTATAGTAGGAAAAAAAAAAAATCCTATGGAAGTCAATGGGGCCCAACTGTCTGGTTACCAACATTCTTCAAAATATATTCTTTTGTGTTCCGCAGAAGAAGAAAAAAATTCATATGGGTTTGGAACTTGAGGGTGAGTAAATGATGACAAAATGTTCATGTTTGGGTGAACTATTCCTTTAACCATGGACCTTATTTTGCTCGTAACAGAAAAATGCCATTATAAAAATCGATAAGAAAATCTCAAGGGAATCAATAGCAAGTTATACCTCTGGAGTTTGCCTATAGATGGATGCCATGACTGAACAGCTGTATAGGTTTAGTCTTTCATCGTTTAATTAACTAACAGCAAGAAAACAATTTGTGTAGTCCTGGTTATGTAATATGGGAATTAGCTTTTGAATTGAATACAATTTTGAATTGAACTTTGGAAATGGACATTGGATATAAAAGGTTCCTATAAGGAGGGCCTTGAAAATAATAATAGGCATATGAAATTCAGATAAAAAAAATCACAGATTATACATAACTGCTTAATGTGACGCCATTAATGCAGACCCAGAACCAAAGATAAATTGCCCATGGGTGCATTTTAAGCTGGTTAGATCTGTCAGAACTGTTAACCTCGTGTCAGTTAACAAAATACATGGGTGATTATGCAACCCAATTAAACCCAAACAACTCACCTATATGTTTTTATTCACATAGTTTATAAAATCAAATAATATTTTAATCGAAAGACAAAGGGGATTGAGAAAAACATTTCCAGCAAGAAAATCTTGAACACAATGATGAATAAATTAAGAAGTCACATTTCTGAACTTTGTTAAACTAACCAAAAGAAATCAGATCTAAATAACACCAGACATTATTTCATAACAGCGGAGCTAGAATTTATTAAAATTCCGTGCTAGTGCATGAAAACATTTCCATCAAAGATTTCACACTGTGCTGATTAAAATAAAATGAACCTGAGTTTTTTTTGTTGTTTGCTCAGAGACTGGTTTAGGTTCTGTGAATTCTGAAAAGGTTTCAGCTTAGAGATACCTCTTAGTTTGATGGTTTCACATTACATGTAGTTTTCGGTTGATTTTAAGGCCCCCATGTCAGTGGATGTAACCAGAACAATAATATCTAAGTTTGTCTTTAGTGTTCATATTGAGTTCATTTGGTGTTTTTGTTATTTCTGACAGCCCTTGTTGTAGGTGAATGTGTGTGTGTGTGTGCTTGTGGTTTTTAGAAACCTCTTGAGAACATCATTCTTTATCACACTGACAGCAGGTGAGAGACTGAAAAGTAAAAATTAAGATAAATTATCAAGCCATCAAATGTCCTCAGTAATGATTCATTTTGATTGGTAGGTCTCCCTTGACAATTTATAGTCGTAGATAAAAAGAGCGTCACTCCATGTCAAATTTCTGTCTACCTTTGTGTACTTAATGCCATGAATGATAGCTTATGTTTTTCATTCCAAATATGTCTGAAAATGACATCTCTCAGGGATCTTGCCAGCTCTGACTGCAGCGCTGTCCAAAAAAACAAATCTGCTCCAGTCTTCTGTTTCCACTACTGATGCTTCTTTTTAGCCCATGCCACAGATTAATTGGCGTATGTCATGGTGGGGTCTTAGCACTTTTGCATCTCGCTATCTGCGTGCCGCTCAGATCTATGTCATTTAATTAGAGCACACCTGCCAAACTAAAAAGTATTGACCTTGTAAGCCTGCCATGGTGCTTGTACGACCTTGTCTTCCTCCCACCGACTCGTTTCCCTTCCCTCCCACATGCTGGCTCAGAGATTATCACCTGGTTTGAAATGCGAGCTCTCTGCTAAAGCATTCATTTAGATGCAGGACACATATACGGCAGGAGATGAATGGCACTGTCCTGACCTGCTAAAAAAACAACATTTTTTCGACATTTGCCGATTTGAGCACTGATCGATGACCAGGGCCTCTACATGGCGCTCAAAGCCGGGTGGGATGGTAGGGTTATGGAGAACTCGATGATAAAGACACGTGGGTGGTATATAAGAAGATGGAGAACAGCATCCAAAAAACAACTTGTATAGGTTGGCGACTAGCAATACTGGTCTTTTTTTTTTAGTTGACAGTATGATCTTATATCACTGTACGAGATCATTTTGTTTGCCATTATATATTGCAATATATTTATATTAGAAAAAAAACATTTGTTATAAAAATGTATAAAAAATTGAATTCTCATACTGTGATATAAGGGCATTTATATTTAGATAGATTTTTGATCGATTTTTACAGTAAAAATGATGTCCGGAGGGGATATTGTTTTTTAATGACCCTACAAGTTTGATTAAACCAGCAAAATATGAGGGAAAATATTTAATTTATATATATACTCTGTGTGTATATATAAAAAGTAAAAAAAGGCATAGAAATAAAGAAAGCTCACAGGAAAAAAACACACATTGACTCTTACTATTTTATTATTTCTCTCTTGTTTTTGTGTGTGTTCATAGTTTCTTTGCCTGGACAATTTTGTCTGCACAATTTAGCCATATTTAGCCATAATAGCCATTTGCACACTTGTGACACATGAATTGAATTGTTCGACAATCATAAACTACTTTATGCTTTGGTATGATGTATACCAACATCATTTTGTTCGACGTACTATAGGTATAATTAGTTTAATATATTTGTTTAGTTGTATTTCAGTTCTTTTCAGTTTTAGGCTACATTTATCCGACAATGATGTACTAAAAATGGAAAAGCTTTTCCTTCGAATTACATTGGTGTCAATGTTGTCAAAACGATCCCCGTTTACACAGATCTGCAAAAAAGCATGCCGTTATGCATGCCAGGCCAGTAGATGGCAATGTCACTTTGTTAAGAAACACTACACGCCTATAAATTGAACACGTAATAAAGTATGTGCGTGATGTCACCATTTTCACAAATTCACATTTTGTAGTTTATATGGAGATGATGATGGTATCGTCTTCAAAAGTTTGCATTTTCAGGTGACCGAACCGCCGTTGTCGTGTAAATGAACGCCAAAAAATGCATAAGAAGTTTTCGTTTTTTAGTTGAAAATGGTGTCGTGTAAACGGCCCCTTAGTAAACGTGCGGTCGTCCACTTACACAACAGACCAAAGCATCTGTACTGGAATAGAACAAAACACTCTTGATTAATTGTGCACTGAAATAGGTTTCTTAGTAGAGATAAGATTTGGAAACGAAGACTTGGTACATCCATAATGAATTCCTTTGAGGAGACATGACGAATGGATTGTCCTGTGGCTTTTGTGCTAATGTTCTGGATGTTAAATACTTAACAGAGCTCAGATGCTGGCAGAGACGAAGGGCGAATGGTCTCATGACTCATGGCCGGACAACTGAAAGAGGGACACTGTGAAATGACTTCAAGGTAAGTTTCTCCCACAAAGCATCTGGATGTGTTCTCCATATTTATCTCCTCCGTTTTATGGTGAATATGCTAAGCATATGCTAAGCAGCTAGTGTTTGCACACAAAATCTGAGAGTTGTGGGCCAATAATCATGAAATCAATTCATCTTAGAGTCGTTTGATTGCCTTTTAATCCAATTATACATCTGAGTTTCTTTTTTCTCCATATTGCTCCATCTCAAAGTGAAGGAAGCTCACTGCCCTAGTTTCAATCTGGTGCGCTGTCAAATCTTAATGGATTTTATGATCAATGGTTTTGAGACCAAACCGCTTTATTTTCTTGTTTTGTTTGTGTTCTGTCTGGTGTTTTTTTTTTTTTTTTTACAAAGATAAATTGCACAGAAGTGATTGCGCTCCTTTTCGTCCACCGCTTCTGAATTCACCCCTCGAGTGCAGGCCTCCATCTAAGAAACCAAAATCCCAAACCATTTCATGGCCCAGTGCCTGGGTGGTTACAGCGGGACCTTTTTGCCTCTCAAAGGCTAACCTGTGTGATCGCTCAGGCAAAACATCTTACATCTTCATTTTCTATATGCATTGTATTGTACTGTACAGTGTAGCCATGCAAATTTAATGTTGTGTCATTTTTAAGGATCCTACAGTAAGGATCCTAAGTATATCAAAACTAATAAAAAATTCTTTATTGGCATTGATGGTTCCATGAAAACATCCATAAAACCTTTCCAGCTTCTTTACAGTGCGGAAAAAGGTTCTTAAAATGTTCTTCACACTAAGAAAAATGATTTTTAAGAGCTGTTCACTGAAAGGTTCTTTGGCAAACCAAAAATGGTTCTTCTATGGCATTCCCTGCCACTTTTGTAACCTTTATTTTGTACCCAAATCCACATTTTTGCAGAAGCCATGGCTTTCTCCTTATTTGGAAACTTAATCTGTCAGAATGGCTTTTGCAGATTATCCAGATTATGTCTGAATACCATATTTCTAGCAGCACTAGAAAATGGTTTGTTTTCTTCTTGAGTGTTTTTCGT